GTCCTCTCTCCTCTGTCCTCTCTCCTCTGTCCTCTGTCCTCTGTCCTCTGTCCTCTGTCCTCTCTCCTCTGTCCTCTGTCCTCTCTCCTCTGTCCTCTGTCCTCTGTCCTCTCTCCTCTATCCTCTGTCCTCTGTCCTCCTCCTCTCTCCTCTGTCCTCTGTCCTCTCTCCTCTCTCCTCTCTCCTCTGTCCTCTCTCCTCTCTCCTCTGTCCTCTCTCCTCTGTCCTCTCTCTCGTCCTCTGTCCTCTCTCCTCTGTCCTCTCTCCTCTGTCCTCTGTCCTCTGTCCTCCCTCCTCTCTCCTCTGTCCTCTCTCTCTGTCCTCTCTCCTCTCTCCTCTGTCCTCTCTCCTCTCTCCTCTGTCCTCTCTCCTCTGTCCTCTCTCCTCTGTCCTCTCTCCTCTCTCCTCTCTCCTCTCTCCTCTGTCCTCTCTCCTCTGTCCTCTGTCCTCTCTCCTCTCTCCTCTGTCCTCTCTCCTCTGTCCTCTCTCCTCTCTCCTCTGTCCTCTCTCCTCTGTCCTCTCTCCTCTCTCCTCTGTCCTCTCTCCTCTTTCCTCTGTCCTCTCTCCTCTCTCCTCTGTCCTCTCTCCTCTCTCCTCTTTCCTCTGTCCTCTGTCCTCTCTCCTCTCTCCTCTCTCCTCTGTCCTCTGTCCTCTGTCCTCTGTCCTCTGGGTGATGTGAGGTGATGTCAGCAGAGTGAGCGTGTTGGAGCTTGTCACTCACACACTGGTCCATACATGACTCCACGCCCAGTGCACTCATGTGTAATGCTCAGCCAATAGGAGTCCAGCGAGAGGGAAGGGGGCGGGCTCACAGAGGCACAGCTGATCACAGAAAATCTGTCGCTAGAGCAAGAGAGTTAAAGCTAAAACCTCTTCTGAAAAATGGATAAAAATTAGACCAATTACCTGGAAACACTGAGCTGCAGCTCCGCTGCCACCTGCAGGACAATAATATGTTTGAAGTCTTTCAATCAGGATTCAGAGTTCATCATAGACTGAAACGGCACTAGTCAAAGTCACAAATGACTTACTACTAGCTGCTGATAATGGACAAGTGTCAGTGCTGGTCCTACTGGACCTTAGATAGATAGATAGATAGATCTCCCTGTGTCTGTGTAGGTTTCCTCCGGGTGCTCCGGTTTCCCCTACCACTAAACACATTCACGATACTGTAGGTGTGGCATGTCCTCCTGCTCTGGCCCCTCCCACCTCTGTGTGGAGTCACAGACTGATGTAACAGCTGTAAACCGCTCTGACTCTGGTCTGAGAAAGGTCTATATAAATAAACATTACTTACTACTTACTTATACTACTTGCTTGGGCGACAGTAGCTCAGTTGGTAGAGCATTGGCCATTAGGCCTGAAGGTCGTGGGTTCAAGCCCACCTCGACACCTTCTCCACCGACTCCCACTGATGTCTGCTGTCGTTGTGTCCTTGGGCAAGACACTTAACCCCACTTTACCTGAAGCCCCCACTGAGAGATCTCAGCTCCTGCAGCAGGATCAGGGAGGGGCTACTTAATTACCTGTGCCTATAGGTACAGTACTATAGGTACAGTACTACACTGAGGTACAGTACTATACTGAGATACTATACTGAGGTACAGTACTATACTGAGGTAAAGTACTATACTGAGGTAAAGTACTACACTGAGGTAAAGTACTACTACACTGAGGTATAGTACTATACTGAGGTACAGTACTATACTGAGGTAAAGTACTATACTGATGTACAGTACTACACCGAGGTAAAGTACTACTACACTGAGGTATAGTACTATACTGAGGTACAGTACTATACTGAGGTACAGTACTACACTGAGGTAAAGGTTGGAGGTTGGTGAGCAAGATGGCGCCGGGTCAGGGCGCCTCAGTAAGAGCTCTGGTGTGCACTGTCTGTTCTATGTTGTTTATATTCGTCTGTGATACACTTGCCACCGTGAGGTACGACCCAGAGACACTTCTCTACATTCGGGACCGAGCTTGTGGAGTATCGCAGGTCTTACCCGAACTGAGGTGCTTGGACTTCATTGAGTGCCCCACTCGTGAGGCCCGTCAGACATGGCAGGCGGGCCGCGGCAATGGTCGCGAACAGAGCGGGGGGACTGGGCGTCTCCACCGTGCTCTCCGCGGTGTGGAGCTGGGTACCGGGAGCCGACGTAGGAGGCGCAGACACCGGGGAAAACGAGGCAGTCTGCTCGTGAGATGCCGCTCCTGCAGGACCGCTCTGCCCTCCATCTACCTGGCCAACGTCCAGTCTCTGCCCAACAAGACGGACGAGCTCCTGTGTCGGGTCCAGAGCCAGCGCGAGGCCCGGGACTGTGTTCTGCCTCAGCGAGACGTGGCTCCACTCGAACGTCCCGGACTTTGCTGTTCAGCCCCCGGGATTCACCGCTCACCGCGTGGACAGAGTGAAGGAGACCACGGGCAAGGCCAGAGGCGGAGGTGTGTGCTTTTTAATTAATCAGCGCTGGTGCACGGACACTCGAGTCGTGAACCAAACATGTACTGCCAATCTGGAATGCCTGGTCTTGAGCTGCCGCCCTTTTTATCTTCCGCGGGAGTTTTCTGTGATATTTTTATGCGCTGTTTACATCCACCCACGAGCGGACTATACTGTAGCACTACAGGATCTGAGCGAGATCCTTCATAAATACGAGACTGCTCATCCTAACGCAGTGATTATTGTTGCTGGGGATTTCAATAAATGTAATTTAAAGACTGTACTCCCGAACTTTTACCAACATGTGACTCGAGCTACAAGAGGATCACATGTTCTGGATCACTGCTACAGTAACGTGAAGGGAGCTTACAGGTCCAGTCTCAGACCTCCTTTTGGAAAGTCTGACCACTCCTCTGTTCTCCTTCTTCCCTCATACTCTCAGAGGAGCAGGGAACATAAACCAACCTCTCGCACTGTGCAGTGTTGGTCTGAGGAGGCTAGCATGAAGCTACAAGGTTGTTTTGATGCTACGGACTGGTCTGTGTTTCAGTCAGAGGACGTCAATGAATTCTGTGACGCTGTGTCTGGATACATACGCTTCTGTATTGACTGCTGTGTCCCACAGAAGGTCATTAAAGAACATTTTAGTCAAAACCCTTGGATGAACACAGAAGTGAAACTGAAACTTCATGAGCGTGCGTTGGCGTTTCAATCAAATGATACAGTTGCCTATAAGCTATCCTGTTACTCATTGAAACGTTCTATTAAATCTGCAAAGCGCAGTTACGGGGACAGGTTAAAGAGTTATTTTGAGGAAGATGACCCTCGGCGCATGTGGAGCGGTATTAAAGCCATCACATCGTGGAAACCTAGTGCTGGGAAAACTGCATCTGTCGGCCCAGCTCTGCCAAACGAGCTGAACACGTTCTACTGTCGCTTTGAATCCGCTGATGCCTGTCCTACTGTATTCCCTGAGTGTTTCAATCAAGGTACCTTCACCGTGACTCAGGAGGAAGTCAGGCGTGTCTTGTCCAGGACCACAGTCCGGAAAGCCCCAGGCCCGGACGGCATCCCTCCTCGTGTCCTGAAACTGTGCTCTGAGCAACTTGCCCCTGTGCTAACAGACATTTTCAACCTGTCGCTAAGGAACTGTACTGTGCCGAACTGCTTTAAAGAGTCCACCATCATTCCAGTTCCTAAGAAAACTCCTGTGACATGCCTGAATGACTATCGTCCTGTGGCTCTCACGTCTGTTCTTATGAAGACTTTTGAGCGGCTTGTGCTGGACTTCATTAAGAGCCAGATCCCTGTGAGTGTTGACCCGCTCCAGTTTGCTACAGACAGAACAGGAGTGTGGAGGATGCATCTCCTTTGCTCTGAACTCTGTCTACAGTCACTTGGACACTAGTATATCTGTGGCCAGAATGCTTTTCATCGATTATAGCTCTGCTTTAACTGCCTTGTCCCAGGTAAACTGATGGAAAAGCTCATGTCTCTGGGTTTAAGTGTTGCCATGTGTAAATGGATTTTTAGCTTTTTAACAGACAGATCTCAGAGAGTGAAAATCAATGACTGTTTTTCTGATGTTGTTTCTGTGAGCACTGGTTCTCCTCAGGGATGTATTTTGAGTCCTTTACTTTTTACACTGTACACTCATGATTGTGTGTCCTCCTCTGACTCAAACTTGATCATCAAATATGCTGATGACACCACCATCATCGGTCTCATCAGTGACACTGATGAATCCTCTTATAGAGCCGAGATCCAAAACGTGGTTCAGTGGAGTAAGGCTAACAACCTCCAGTTGAACGCATCCAAAACATGTGAACTGGTCTACGACTTCAGTCGCAATAGTTCTCATTTGTCTGTCGTAATCGACAACTCCCAGGTGCAGATCGTAGAGGAGCAAGTTTCTGGGTTTAACTCTGTCTAACCTGAAATGGGTTAAAAACACTGACCGGGTCGTAAAGAAAGCTCGTCAGCGTCTCTACTTCCTGCGGAAACTTAGAGAATTTACCACTAACTCTAAGATTGTGCTTAACTTTTATGGCTGCACCATTGAGAGTTTACTTGTTGGTTCTGTGTCTGTGTGGTTTGGAAACATCACAGATAAAGAAAAGAGAGCTTTAAACAAGGTGCTCCGCTCTGCAAAGAGGACTGTAGGCTGTGAGCTTCCTGTTCTGGAGGTTCTTTATCAATCCACACTTTTAAACAGTGCCCTGAGAATTATCAATGACTCTTCTGGCCACCCAGGAAAAGCCTTGTTCCAGCTTCTTCCCTCTGGCAGAAGATACTGTTCTCTGAGATGCAGGACATCTCGTTATGCTAATAGTTTTTTTCCACGAGCTGTTAACAGTTTGAATAGAGCACTTTAATGTTTTTGCACTTGTACAGATCTGTTTTAGTTGGTCGACTTCACAGTGACATTTGTTTACTGTTTTTAAAATGTGTTTTATTTTTGTCTTTTAATGTTGTTTTGTGTCTGTACTTGTCCTGTGCACACTGGGAACTTTTACAAATGTATTCCAATGTAGTGCTACTGCAAATGGCGAAATAAATGAATCTGAATCTGAATCTGAAGTACTACTACACTGAGGTACAGTACTATACTGAGGTACAGTACTATACTGAGGTACAGTACTATACTGAGGTACAGTACTATACTGAGGTACAGTACTACACTGAGGTAAAGTACTACTACACTGAGGTACAGTACTACACTGAGGTACAGTACTACTACACTGAGGTACAGTACTATACTGAGGTACAGTACTATACTGAGGTACAGTACTACACTGAGGTAAAGTACTACTACACTGAGGTACAGTACTACACTGAGGTACAGTACTATACTGAGGTACAGTACTACACTAAGGTACAGTACTACACTGAGGTACAGTACTACTACACTGAGGTAAAGTACTACTATACTGAGGTACAGTACTATACTGAGGTAGAATACTACTATACTGAGGTACAGTACTATACTGAGGTACAGTACTATACTGAGGTACAGTACTATACTGAGGTACAGTACTATACTGAGGTAGAGTACTACTACACTGAGGTACAGTACTATACTGAGGTACAGTACTATACTGAGGTACAGTACTACACTGAGGTACAGTACTATACTGAGGTAGAATACTACTATACTGAGGTACAGTACTATACTGAGGTACAGTACTACACTGAGGTAAAGTACTACTACACTGAGGTACAGTACTACACTGAGGTACAGTACTACTACACTGAGGTACAGTACTATACTGAGGTACAGTACTATACTGAGGTACAGTACTATACTGAGGTACAGTACTACACTGAGGTAAAGTACTACTACACTGAGGTACAGTACTACACTGAGGTACAGTACTATACTGAGGTACAGTACTACACTAAGGTACAGTACTACACTGAGGTACAGTACTACTACACTGAGGTAAAGTACTACTATACTGAGGTACAGTACTATACTGAGGTAGAGTACTATACTGAGGTAGAATACTACTATACTGAGGTACAGTACTATACTGAGGTACAGTACTATACTGAGGTACAGTACTATACTGAGGTAGAATACTACTATACTGAGGTACAGTACTATACTGAGGTACAGTACTATACTGAGGTAGAGTACTACTACACTGAGGTACAGTACTATACTGAGGTACAGTACTATACTGAGGTACAGTACTATACTGAGGTACAGTACTATACTGAGGTAGAATACTACTATACTGAGGTAAAGTACTACTATACTGAGGTACAGTACTATACTGAGGTAGAATACTACTATACTGAGGTACAGTACTATACTGAGGTACAGTACTACACTGAGGTAGAGTACTATACTGAGGTACAGTACTATACTGAGGTACAGTACTATACTGAGGTACAGTACTATACTGAGGTACAGTACTATACTGAGGTACAGTACTATACTGAGGTACAGTACTACACTGAGGTACAGTACTATACTGAGGTACAGTACTACACTGAGGTACAGTACTATACTGAGGTACAGTACTACACTGAGGTACAGTACTACACTGAGGTAAAGTACTACTATACTGAGGTACAGTACTATACTGAGGTGCAGTACTATACTGAGGTACAGCACTATACTGAGGTACAGTACTATACTGAGGTACAGTACTACACTGAGGTACAGTACTATACTGAGGTACAGTATTATACTGAGGTACAGAACTATAGGTACAGGTACTACAGGAACAGAACTATAGGTACAGTACTACAGGTACAGTACTACAGGTACAGTACTATAGGTACAGTACTACAAGTACAGTACTACAGGTACAGTACTACAGATACAGTACTATACTGAGGTACAGAACTATAGGTACAGTACTACAGGTACAGAACTATAGGTACAGTACTACAGGTACAGTACTACAGGTACAGTACTACAGGTACAGTACTATACTGAGGTACAGAACTATAGGTACAGTACTACTGGTACAGAACTACAGGTACAGTACTACAGGTACAGTACTACAGGTACAGTACTACAGGTACAGTACTATACTGAGGTACAGAACTATAGGTACAGAACTATAGGTACAGAACTATAGGTACAGTACTACAGGTACAGTACTATACTGAGGTACAGAACTATAGGTACAGTACTACAGGTACAGTACTATAGGTACAGTACTACAGGTACAGTTCTACGGTTGCAGACAGCAGCTTTAGAGAAACATGAAGCTGAGAATTCTAATACATGTTCATTCATCTGTCTCAGCAACTGCTGTGTAGCAGTCAGTATTAGCAGCAGTCAGTAGTAGTCATAGTAGCAGCAGTATTAGTAGCAGTAGTAGTAGCAGTAGCAGTAGTAGCAGTAGTATTAGTAGTAGTATTAGTATTGGTACTTTATGCAGTAATTGTAGTATTTTCTGACAGTTTCATTTGTGTAAAGTCAGTTGGACTCACCTGAAACTGCAGACACTCCGGTGTTTGGGAATGTCCCGGACACTTCCTACTCCTGCTGCACCTTTGTGTGGAGAGAGGGAGGGAGGGAGGGAGGGAGGGAGGGGGAGGGAAGAGGGAGGGAGGGAGGGAAGAGGGAGGGAGAGGGAGGGAGGGAGGGAGGGAGGGGGAGGGAAGAGGGAGGGGGAGGGAGGGAGGGAGGGAGGGGGAGGGAGGGGGAGGGGGGGAGGGAGGGAGGGAGGGGGAGGGGAGGGAGGGAGGGAGGGAGGGAGGGAGGGAGGGAGAGGAGGGAGGGAGGGGGAGGGAAGAGGGAGGGGGAGGGAGGGAGGGAGGGGGAGGGAAGAGGGAGGGAGAGGGAGAGGGAGGGAGGGGGAGGGAGGGAGGGGAGGGGGAGGGAAGAGGGAGGGAGAGGAAGAGGAGGGAGGGAGGGAGGGGGAGGGAAGAGGGGAGAGGGAGGGAGGGAGGGAGGGAGGGGGAGGGAGAGAGGGAGGGGGAGGGAGGGAGAGAGGGAGGGGGAGGGAAGAGGGAGGGAGAGGGAGGGAAGAGGGAGGGAGGGAGGGAGGGAGGGAGGGGGGGGGAGGGAGGGAGGGAGAGGGAGGGAAGAGGGAGGGAGAGGGAGAGGGAGGGAGGGAGGGAGAGGGAAGAGGGAGGGGGAGGGAGGGAGGGAGAGGGAGGGAAGAGGGAGGGAGGGAGGGGGAGGGGGAGAGGGAGGGAGAGGGAGGGAGGGAGGGAGAGGGAGGGAAGAGGGAGGGAGAGGGAGAGGGAGAGGGAGGGAGGGGGAGGGAAGAGGGAGGGGGGGGGGAGGGAGGGAGGGGGAGGGGGGAGAGGGAGGGAGAGGGAGGGAGGGGGGGAGGGAGGGAGGGAGGGAGGGGGAGGGAGGGAGGGAGAGGGAGGGAGGGGGAGGGAGGGAGGGAGAGGGAGGGAAGAGGGAGGGAGAGGGAGAGGGAGGGAGGGAGGGAGAGGGAAGAGGGAGGGAGGGAGGGGGAGGGAAGGAGAGGGAGGGAGAGGGAGGAGGGAGGGAGGGGGAGGGAGAGGGAGGGAGGGGGAGGGAGAGGGAGGGAGGGGGAGGGAGGGGGAGGGAGGGAGGGAGAGGGAGGGAGAGGGAGGGAGGGGGAGGGAGGGAGGGAGAGGGAGGGAAGAGGGAGGGAGAGGGAGAGGGAGGGAGGGAGGGAGAGGGAGAGGGAAGAGGGAGGGGGAGGGAGGGAGGGAGGGGGAGGGAAGAGGGAGGGGGAGGGAGGGAGGGAGGGAAGAGGGAGGGAGAGGGAGAGGGAGGGAGGGGGGAGGGGGGAGGGAGAGGGAGGGAGGGAGGGGGAGGGGGGGAGGGAGGGAGGGAGGGAGAGGGAGGAGGGAGAGGGGAGGGAGGGAGGGAGGGAGGAGGGAGGGGAGGGAGGGAGGGGGAGGGAGGGGAGGGGAGGGAGGGAGAGGGAGAGGGAGGGAAGGAGGGAGGGAGGGAGGGAGGGAGGGAGGGAGGGAAGAGGGAGGGAGAGGGAGGGAGGGAGGGAGAGGGAGAGGGAGGGAGAAGGAGAGGGAGAGGGAGGGGGAGGGAGAGGGAGGGAGAAGGAGAGGGAGAGGGAGGGGGAGGGAGGGAAGAGGGAAGATGGAGAGGGAGCGAGGGGGAGGGAGGCACACATACACACACTAGTGTTGGGCAAGTTGTGTTAAAAATTTTATCCATGATGTGTTACTCACTGGGTTTCAGAGTTATGTGTTACTGTCTCTGACTGTTAAGTCCCCAAAGATTAGGGCCCTTTAATGATGACAGATTAGGGCCCTTTGATGATGACAGATTAGGGCCCTTTAATGATGACAGATTAGGGCCCTTTGCGGGGAGAGGCGGCGAGCTGGGGTGGCCATTCTCATTGCCCCCCATCTCAGCCGCCACGTGTTGGAGTTCTCCCCGGTGAATGAGAGGGTCGCGTCCCTCCGCCTCCGGGTGGGGGACAAGTCTCTCACTGTTGTGACGGCCTACGGGCCTAACAGCAGTGCAGAGTACCCGGCCTTCTTGGAGTCCTTGGGAGGGGTACTGGACGGTGCACCGCCCGGGGACTCCGTCATTCTCCTGGGGGACTTCAACGCCCATGTGGGAAATGCCAGTGACACTTGGAGAGGGGTGATCGGGAAGAGCGGCCCCCCTGATCTGAACCCGAGCGGTGCTCAGTTGTTGGACTTCTGTGCCAGTCACAGTTTGTCCATCACGAACACCATGTTCGAGCACAAGGGTGTCCATCAGTGCACGTGGCACCAGGACACCCTAGGCTGGAGGTCGATGATCGACTTTGTTGTCGTATCATCTGACCTTTGACCGCGTGGCTCGGACACTCGGGTGAAGAGAGGGGCGGAGCTGTCAACCGATCACCACCTGGTCGTGAGTTGGATCCGCTGGCAGGGGAAGAAGCCGGTCAGACCTGGCAGACCCAAGCGTATAGTGAGGGTTTGCTGGGAACGTCTCGCTGAGACCCCTGTCAGACAGACTTTCAACTCACACCTCCGGGAGAGCTTCTCCCAGGTCCCGGCGGAGGAGGGGGTTATTGAGTCCGAGTGGACCATGTTCTCTTCCTCTATCGCCAATGCGGCGGCTCGTAGCTGTGGTCGCAGGGTCTCTGGTGCTAGTCCCGGCGGCAATCCCCGAACCCGGTGGTGGACACCGGCAGTAAGGGATGCCGTCAGGCTGAAGAAGGAGTCCTATCGAGCAATGATGGCTCATGGGACTCCTGAGGCAGCTGTCCAGTACCGGCAGGCCAAGCGCGCCGCGGCCCTGCCCGGACTGGGAGGAGTTCGGAGAGTCCATGGAGCATGACTATCGGTCGGCCTCGAAGAGATTCTGGCAAACCGTCCGGCGCCTCAGGAGGGGGAAGCAGTTCTTTGCCAACACTGTGTACGGTGCGGGTGGAGAGCTGCTGACCTCGACTGGGGATATTGTCAGGCGGTGGAAGGAATACTTCGAGGTTCTCCTCAATCCCCCCATCACGTCCTCCGTCCAGGAGGCAGAGGCTGAGGATGTTGGGACGGATACTTCCATCTCCCTGGCTGAGGTCACCAAGGTGGTTGGCAGCCTCCATGGTGGCAAGGCTCCGGGTGTGGATGAGATCCGCCCTGATTATCTAAAGTCTCTGGATGTTGTAGGACTGTCTTGGCTGACACGTCTCTGCAACATCGCGTGGCGATCGGGGGCGGTGCCAATGGAGTGGTAGACCGGGGTGGTGGTCCCTCTCTACAAGAAGGGGGACCGGAGGGTGTGTTCCAATTATCGTGGGACACACTCCTCAGCCTCCCCGGTAAGGTCTACTCCAAGGTACTGGAGAGGAGGTTACGGCCGATGGTCGAATCTCGGATCCAGGAGGAGCAGTGTGGTTTTTGTCCCGGTCGTGGAACACTGGACCAGCTCTATACTCTCCATCGGATACTCGAGGGTTCATGGGAGTTCGCCCAACCTGTCCACATGTGCTTTGTGGATTTGGAGAAGGCGTTTGACCCGGGGTGTACTTTGGGGGGTTGTCCGGGAGTACAGGGTCCGGGGTCCTCTGCTGAGGGCCGTTCGGTCCCTGTATGACCGGAGCCAGAGCTGTGTTCGCATTGCCGGCAGTAAGTCAGACCTGTTCCCGGTGCATGTTGGCCTCCGCCAGGGCTGCCCTTTGTCACCGGTTCTGTTCACTGTGTTCATGGACAGAATTTCTAGGCGCAGCCAGGGGTCGGAGGGGGTCCGGTTCGGGGACCACAGGATTTCATCTCTGCTGTTTGCGGACGATGTTGTCCTGTTGGCTCCAACGAACCAGGACCTACAACATGCACTGGGACGGTTTGCAGCCGGCTGGGATGAGAATCAGCACCTCCAAATCCGAGGCCATGGTGCACAACCGGAAAAAGGTGCCTTGCCCTCTTCAGGTGGGTGGAGAGGTCCTTCCTCAAGTGGAGGAGTTCAAGTATCTCGGGGTCTTGTTCACGAGTGAGGGAAGGATGGAGCGTGAGATTGACAGGCGGATCGGTGCAGCGTGCGCAGTGATGCGGTCGCTGTATCGGACCGTTGTGGTGAAGAGGGAGCAGCATCTGCAGTCAGAGCTGTATCGGACCGTTGTGGTAAAGAGGGAGCAGCGTCTGCAGTCAGAGCTGTATCGGACCGTTGTGGTGAAGAGGGAGCAGCGTCTGCAGTCAGAGCTGTATCGGACCGTTGTGGTAAAGAGGGAGCAGCGTCTGCAGTCAGAGCTGTATCGGACCGTTGTGGTAAAGAGGGAGCAGCGTCTGCAGTCAGAGCTGTATCGGACCGTTGTGGTAAAGAGGGAGCAGCGTCTGCAGTCAGAGCTGTATCGGACCGTTGTGGTAAAGAGGGAGCAGCGTCTGCAGTCAGAGCTGTATCGGACTGTTGTGGTGAAGAGGGAGCAGCGTCTGCAGTCAGAGCTGTATCGGACCGTTGTGGTAAAGAGGGAGCAGCGTCTGCAGTCAGAGCTGTATCGGACCGTTGTGGTAAAGAGGGAGCTGAGCCGAAAGGCAAAGCTCTCGATTTACCGGTCAATCTTCGTTCCCTCCCTCACCTATGGTCATGAGCTTTGGGTAATGACCGAAAGAACGAGATCGCGGATACAAGCGGTCGAAATGAGCTTCCTCCGCAGAGTGGCTGGGCGCTCCCTTAGAGATAGGGTGAGGAGCTCAGTCACACGGGAGGAGCTCGGAGTAGAGCCGCTGCTTCTCCACGTCGAGAGGAACCAGTTGAGGTGGCTCGGGCATCTGTTCCGGATGCCTCCTGGACGCCTCCCTGGGGAGGTGTTCCGGGCACATCCCACCGGGAGGAGGCCCAGGGGAAGACCTAGGACACGCCTGAGGGACTATGTCTCTCAGCTGGCCTGGGAACGCCTTGGGGTCTCCCCGGACGAGCTGGAGGAAGTGTGTGTGGATAGGGAAGTCTGGGCGTCTCTGCTTAGACTGCTGCCCCCGCGACCCGGCAACAGATGAAGCGGAAGAAGATGGAATGGAATAGATTAGGGCCCTTTAATGATGACAGATTAGGGCCCTTTAATGATGACAGATTAGGGCCCTTTAATGATGACAGATGAGTCCTTTAATGATGACAGATTAGGGCTCTTTAATGATGACAGATTAGGGCCCTTTAATGATGACAGATTAGAGCCCTTTAATGATGACAGATTAGGGCCCTTTAATGTTTACACATTAGAGCCCTTTAATGATGACAGATTAGGGCCCTTTAATGTTTACAGATTAGAGCCCTTTAATGATGACAGATTAGAGCCCTTTAATGATGACAGATTAGGGCCCTTTAATGTTTACACATTAGAGCCCTTTAATGATGACAGATTAGGGCCCTTTAATGTTTACAGATTAGAGCCCTTTAATGACGACAGATTAGGGCCCTTTAATGATGACAGTTTAGGGGCCTTTAATGATGACAGATTAGAGCCCTTTAATGATGACAGATTAGGGCCCTTTAATGATGACAGATTAGAGCCCTTTAATGATGACAGATTAGGGCCCTTTGATGATGACAGTTTAGGGCCCTTTGATGATGACAGATTAGAGCCCTTTAATGATGACAGATTAGAGCCCTTTAATGATGACAGATTAGGGCCCTTTAATGATGACAGATTAGGGCCCTTTAATGATGACAGATTAGGGCCCTTTAATGATGACAGATTAGGGCCCAAGATTCCCAGTTCGCAAGATTCACGACCTGCACGACCTGCTGGCCGACAAAATTGATGGGATGTACAAGGAGCTTAGCCGTGTCGTGGTTGAGAGTGCCGTGTCTGGACAAAGGAGAGTGACTTTGGTGGAACAGTTGATAAAAGATCTCGCAGCTCGTTCACTCGATGGACATAAAACTCTGGAATTGAGATTGAATGACATTGTGTGTCACGCTTGAACTCTCTGACCCGGCTTGGATTTGCCCCTGTGTACGGAGGTCTGAGGGCGCCGCAATTCGGTTTAATTGGATTTAATAGAATATCTGCCTGCTTTTGACTGCTACATTGCATTAATATTGTCCCCCTGAGGCGATGTGTTTCTCCTGCTGTGTCTTCTCTCCACTCTTATCTCACATTCCTCGGCCAAGGCCATAATAACAAAGGTCCCATCTACAACAACTCACACTATTCAGTCTCCAGCTCGGATCCCGTCTCCCCCGCCTCCCTCTCTATCCATCTTGCTCCCTCCCTCCCCTACACACCTCATTGTGTTTCCGGCTCACCCCCTCCCTGACCCCGCCCCCCTCTGACAGCCACATTGGCCGGCTGTCGGAGGTGCTCATCCCGAGAAAAAAATCCGTGCTTTATACAAAGCACAATGTGTCTATCCAACTGTCTGTGAAACTGTATGTTATTGCTCTCTGCTGTTTATTCTACTGTGTGTCGTCTTCTCTGTCTGGTGCACACCGGGGTAGTCTTGCACAGTTTTACTGCAAATGGCAAATAAATGAATCCTGGTTCTAGTCAGGACTAATATGGTCGTACTTCCTGGTTCTAGTCAGGACTGGAGCTGCTGCATTTTGAATGTACTGCAGCTGTTTTACAGCCTGTTTGGACAGACCTGTGAGCAGCCATTGCAGTAGTCTAACCTACTGGAGACAAATGCATGGATAAGAATCTCCAAGTCTGCTTTAGACACTATGTTTTTGATCCTGGCAATGTTTTTTAGATGGTAAAAAGCTGCTGATGTTACTGATTTGATGTGGCTATTAAAATTTAAGTCTGAGTCCAGTATTACCCCTAGATTTCTGACCTTGTTTGAAGGTTTTAGGGAGAGAGACTGTAGGTGACAGATGACGCTCTCTCTTTGTTTCTGGGGACCAAAGACAATCATTTCAGTTTTGTCTGCGTTTAGCTGAAGGAAGTTGTTTTGCATCCACTCACTGATCTGTTGGATACAGTGAAGGAGTGAGTCCACTGGTCCATGTTCTCCTGCAGTCAGTGAGACATAGATCTGAGTGTCGTCTGCATAGTTATGATAGGAAACTTTGTTTCTGCGTATTAACTGACCTAACGGCAGCATGTAGAGATTGAACAGAAGAGGTCCCAGGATCGACCCCTGTGGTACTCCACAGGTCAGGGCCATATGATCTGAGACACAGTTTCCAATCTCCACAAAGTACTTCCTGTCTTCAAGGTAAGACCTAAACCAACTTAGGGCGGTGCCAGCGACGCCAACCCAGTCCTCTAGTCTCTGTAAGAGGATCTCATGGTCGACAGTGTCAAAGGCAGCACTCAGATCTAACAAGATTAAGATTGAGACTTTGCCTGCGTCAGTGTTCAGCCGGATATCGTTTGTAACCTTGACGAGAGCAGTCTCAGTGCTGTGGTGGGGTGGATCCGTGATTACTTTACGTCCGGTGAGTGATGGCTACATTTGTTTTAGAAGCCTTGGTGGCTGAACCAACGCAAGTGGCGTTGACTTTGTGTGGATTTGTTTGAACGGGTGACGGCGGGAGATGCAGTGGTGTCCCCCGTGCGTCCTGGTGTAGAGCGCGTGGAGCAGCCACAGGTGGGCTCTCCTTCTCCGCCGTTTGAAGAGACTGAGGTGAAGTCTCTGAGCCTGGTTCGTTCTCCCCGTGAAGTGCTCGTTGATGTGCGCATCAACGAGCGCACATCAACGAAGTGGTCTTTGAAAAGATAGAGGCTGACGCTGCGCTTAGGATGCGGCAATTGGAGTTGCAATCAGCGGGTCGCAGTCCAGTTTCCTCGTCACCTGTGGTCAGTGCGCCCGAGTTTGACGTGACTCAAAATATCCCGCTTGTCCCAACTTTCCGTGAGACGGAGGTTGAGTCCTATTTTTGTGTTTTTGAGCGCATTGCAGGGGCATTACACTGGCCTAGGGATGTGTGGGCAATCCTTCTGCAGTGAAACCTAAGTGGCAGGTTTGAAGCATGTGCATCTTTGCAGGTCTCAGACATCTTGGACTATGACTGTGTGAAAGGTGCTATTTTGCGGTTCTATGAGTCGTGGCCCAAGGCTCATAGTGCTTACGTTAGTCCCGCGCACGTAGTTGGGGCTTTCCCTGTAGCTGTTCGTGACCAGTCTCCAATTGATGGGGTGGAGTCCATCATGCGGAGCGACAGTGCAGGTGGAAAAGTGTGTCCCATGAGCGTTTTGACCCACGCTCAGTGACTGATTACACCAAGGCCAAGGTTTACACTGAGAAGCCAGAATTACTCACTTGTGTGTCCCCTCCAACCACTCAGAAAGCTGGTCACAAGTTCAGTCTGGCTGGACTTGTGTTGAGTTGCGGCATACCTGAACCAATCAAACTCCTTGAAGAGTTCCTTGCTGAAATCAGACAGTTTGACCCTGGTGTGATTCAGCTGTCAAAGGTTTTGTTCAGTTTTGGCGTGACGTGACTGTGCAACTGGCGCTACAGAGCCTACGTGTGTGTTGGGTTGCCTTGTGTCCCAGTTTTTCAGATCACTCGCAACCTAGGTTCCCTGGCCCTGATGTCCAACCCAGATCAACGGCTGATGCAAGGGGCGCTGCTGACTCTGGACCACACCGTCCGTATCCAGCACAGGAGGGGAAAGGACAATGTTGTGGCTGAGGCCTCATCGTGTGACTGGGGACACACCTCACCACTTGGGTCGCAGGTGGTGGTGGCATCCATATCCTTTTCCATAATTATGTTGTGTTTTTTGGAAGCACTTTGTTTTCCTGTTAAAGAGGGGTAGACCTTAGTTTTTATGGGGGGGAAGTGTTACGGACAAAGTCCTTTTGATTTTGTATATTGTGTTTCTCCTTGCCTCCACCTGTCAGACCCTCCCACCTCCAGCTGAGTGACGTCCCACTCACACCTGTGGGTAATCAGCTGGGAGGCAAAAAGGGACGGGATCGAGACCAGGCTCACTCTCTCTGCCACTTCAACCGTCCGTTGGACCAGTGGGTCCTGTGTCTGTACCTCACCCCTTTCGGAGCATTTTGTTTTGTGATCTGAACAGTGGTTCTTTTTGCACCTATTTTAATAAACCATAACTTTTTGGACCTCCGTCTCTTTTCCACACCCGATTTTAATTTTGTTATTGAGCCACGCTCCTAGACACCACCACTTTGTGGCTCGTAATAAGCAGTCTCCTCGGATGGCGTTACAGTCAACAGAACAGAAATATTTATTCACAAATTGGAGAAACATAGATCAGACTCAGATAACTGTTGGTTGAGATCGTTGTAGAAGAGTGAGCTGAGCGTGAGCACCACCTGCTGGTCCAAACACAGAACAGCATTGTGACACTGTAGAGCGAGAACACTGATGCCTCAAAGATCCATGAAAGTCCTGGTTCTGAGCCAACCTCTGCTGAAAACACAGAAGGTAAAAACACCAAACGTCTCCAGAGAGTCTGCTTCTGGATCTTCTGGACCTTTACTGGAAAACCTACTCCACCCATGACTTGTAAACACTAGGACTTGCAGAGCAGTCAAATTGACGGCTTTTAGAAATGTAAAAACTCACAGTATGTACCTTTTGATCTTCATAACTTTGACTGTTTCTGTAAAGTTGGAAGAAAAGTAGTTCTTTGAAGAGCGAGTGATTGTTACCATAGCAACACACCGTTTACTGTCAGCACCTAGCCTTCAGCACCTAGCCTTCAGCACCTAGCCTTCAGCACCTAGCCTTCAGCACCTAGCCTTCAGCACCTAGCCTTCAGCACCTAGCCTTCAGCACCTAGCCTTCAGCACCTAGCCTTCAGCACCTAGCCTTCAGCACCTAGCCTTCAGCACCTAGCCTTCAGCACCTAGCCTTCAGCACCTAGCCTTCAGCACCTAGCCTTCAGCACCTAGCCTTCAGCACCTAGCCTTCAGCACCTAGCCTTCAGCACCTAGCCTTCAGCACTTAGCCTTCAGCACTTAGCCTTCAGCACTTAGCCTTCAGCACTTAGCCTTCAGCACTTAGCCTTCAGCACTTAGCCTTCAGCACTTAGCCTTCAGCACTTAGCCTTCAGCACTTAGCCTTCAGCACTTAGCCTTCAGCACTTAGCCTTCAGCACTTAGCCTTCAGCACTTAGCCTTCAGCACTTAGCCTTCAGCACTTAGCCTTCAGCACTTAGCCTTCAGCACTTAGCCTTCAGCACTTAGCCTTCAGCACTTAGCCTTTCAACCAATTAAAAGGTAGAACTACTCACATTTC